ATTTAACATTTTGTAAACTGTGTGTGTGATTAGGACATGAAGGCAGGATTGGAATGGCAGCTCTGACGCTGAAAGAAAACATGAACTTTGACGGGAAACGTCTTCATCAACACGTTAAAAACTACCTGCCGAGCTACGCCAGGCCACGGTTCATACGCATACAGGTAAATACTCCAGAAATACTTAAACACATACAGCGTACTACATACTAATACTTACCTTTTACATTCCTGGTTCTTAGACTAAGAGACTTTTACTAATCAGGTACATACAATTTATCAAGTATACCTGTACTTACTTGTGTTGGGTGTGTACCTAATAAATACTAGGTATGTACCTGGTAACAAATTAGTACATACCCAATATATAAGCTGAAATTACTGGGTATTGAAATGCACACAGTAAGTAAGATATATGTACTTGGTATATAGCTGGTACTTCCATAACAAGTACCAGGTACATTCCTGATACCTATAGTGTATGTACCAGGTATTTATCCAGTAAGTACAATGTACATACTGAATAGATACCAGGTGAGGTGTGCATCAGCTGTGTACATATGACACATAAAGTAAGTACCAGATAAATAATAAATATGTACCAGATCTGTACTTAGTAAATGTCAGGTACTTAAAGGGTGAGTACTGAGTACATACAAGTTACAATAAGTACCAGCTAAGTACTATATACATATTTAATTACCATGTACATACCAGTACAAATCCAGTAAGTGCCAAATACATACCAAGGTACCTACCTGGTGAGTATCCAGTACTTACCCTGGTGTTCATATTTGATAAATGACAGATACATACTGAGAACATACCCAGTTACCAGTACCTTGTACATACTCAGTACATAAAGTATTAACCTGTTAAGTAGCAGGTACATACAGTAACTGCACAGTGCATACTTTGTAAGTAATGAGTACATACCAGGAAAGTACCCAAATAAATTCTAGGTACATACCCAGTACATAGGTACATACCAGGTAAGTGACAGATATATACCAGGTACTTCCTGTAATTTACATGTACATATAGGCTGTGTACTTGTACTGAGAGCTGTGTTAAGCAGTGGAACCACAGGTATTTTCTGACTGGTGTTGTGTATTTGTGTGGGGCAGGACGCTCTGGCAGTGACTGGAACCTTCAAGCAGCTGAAGGCCAAACTGGCTGAGGAGGGTTTCAACCCCGACATCATCCAGGATCCTTTATTCTTCCTGGAGGACAATAARGGCTACGTGCCCATGAGCAAGGACATATTCAGCTCCATCTCAGAGGGAACGCTCAAACTCTGAGCGCCTGCTGCAGACCAGGAGGCGTTCAGAGCGACACGGGGATATTTTATACACAGATGACTCTTTTTAAATCAGAACCACTCAAACCAGCCTGTTTGTTTTTACTGGATCAGTTTGAAACTGAGGTGAAGCCTGAGGATGGCAGGACTGAAACAATGGAGGAAAAGCTTTGACCCGTCTGTGAGGTGGGCAGTCTCAGGGTCTCGTGTTTCCGTCCCACCTGATTCATCTCTCAAATCAAACCAACCTTGTTTTCTGGAACTCAAAACCTTCTGGACCTGTGTATTTTTACCAACATGTACACAAACTCCCAGATGTGAGCCAGAAAGTTGTGAACACATCATTTATTGCAAATAAAAATCTGATTCTTTAAACAGTTTTATGTCTCGATCCTGTGCTTGAAGTCAGCTGGTTCTCATCAGGACACATAACTAGCAGTGGAAACAGGAAGTTGTGATTCACGCTGCGCTGCTTCTGATTAGATGGGGTTCAGAGAATCAGACTAATAATGATCCAATCAGGTTACAGCTGGGAGTTTAATATGTCATCTGTCCGTCCATCAGACTAACGATTCAGTCCAGTTTGCTCACAGTGACCTCAGAACGTTTTTAGATTCCTGCTTTTAAGCTACATGTGTAAATGTTTTAGCTGTGTGCTTAAAAATGGCTGAATTACAGCCCATTGTAATTGTGGCTGCTCGATCCGTTCCAGAAACATTGTTTTTAGCATGTAGCATTGAGCTAAACTGATGACAGAGTTCATTGGATTTCAGTCTTTCATCAGCTGCAGGGTTTCATAGAAAAGGCAACGTTTGCAACAGCTGTGGATTTATATTCTAGAAAAAAAAGAGAGATGAGTTATAACATGCTTGTCTAGAAAAGTTTGCAAGTCCTTATAAATAAATATGTATAAATCATAAATCCATATTTTATTAATCAAAATGTATACAATTTTAAAACTGTTTTCAGAATATAATGTAACACAGCTTTATAATTAAATATAGAAATCAGTGTTTTCAGTTTTTTCCCCCCTAGATCGAGCACATTCCAGAAGTCTATCATTTAGTGCAGAGGTTCTCAAACTGGGGTCCCTGGACCCCCAGGGGTCCACGAGAGGTATTTTGGGGGTCCTCAAAAAGTTTTACTAAAATGTTAATTTGGTTTTTACTTTTAAAAATGCATAGAGAACAATGAACTAATAAAACTGTAGGGGTCACCTCGAGTGAAGAAACAAGATTTACTGCCTCGAAGCAGGCCTCGGACAGGCCTGACGAGAGGACAGGAACTCTGTCACAAATTGAACTCTATTTTAGGCCATGACAGGTCATTTCAACCTAGAAGAGAATTTCTCAGTTCTCTTAATCAGATAATGGACAGAACAATCTTTTCTGTTCGTGATTCATTTGTTGTTTAACTAAGAATGTTTATGCATTTGTTAAATCATGATAATGACTGTCACAAGAACAGTGGAACCACTTCTCCTATTTTATCTTGCCTAAAAGATTAATAATGTAAAAAAATCACAGAGAAAATCATTACAATGTTTTCATTGTGTTTTTATGCAAATCACTGTTTTTATTTTACTGTGAACACAGTAATATAATTGTGGATTTTTCTTGAGAAAATCATTTATCTGGACTAACAGAATGGTTCAAAACTGATTACTTAAACAGAAATGTTTATTAATCATCATAAATGTTTTGCAGTGATTTCTCTTAGAATCCATCAGAAGAAAAGCTAAAGAAAGGTTATCATATTCTGTTGTGAACAACCACAGAATTTTAGCCTTGAGCTGGCGGCTGGCAAGTCTTTATCTTTCTTCCTTTCTCCGACTCATCTCACGCCTGAGGGCGGAACCAAAGTTCATCCATTTCTTTGACTAACCACGGATGTCTTTGAGACACACACTCTTCCTGACTCCAACTAGGAAGGAAAGCTGAGTTTTCTCTCTCGGGAGAGACTCAGTTTGGCCTGTTGGGTCTCAGCCCATGAGCTAACTGGGGGGACCTAACAGCCGGGACAGCGGCACGCCAGCCAGCCCCACCCCGAGGCTCCAAGTCTCCAAGTGTGTTTTTAACTCCCGAGGGGAGATTTTATTTTGAAAGGAGGAACCAGATGACCAGCTTGAATCTTTCTGGCTTGGACTGAAACAGACAAAAAGTTACCTGAAAAACACCTTTTCGCCAAGGAACTGTAAGCGAGCTGATAACATTCCCTGACTGATCGGAGGTGAGACAGTTCCTACCCCGGGGTGATTTAAGAAGTCATCACCAGGTAAAGCTGACGTGTTCAGGCTGACGTGTCATGTGGAAACTGAGTGCAGAAGGGACGTGTGGATCCGGTTGAACCACACTCTTTGATAAAGTAAAATTAGTAGCGGTACTAATCTTACTTTCCTCCTTTTCTTTGTCTTTATTTGCCAAAACTTAAGCTAAAAGTGCCAGTAAAATTGTTTGGTTGTAACATCAGAACTGACGTTTTACTGTTCTATATAAGTAATCTGAGTTTATGTGAATTGAAATTCGGACGCGAGTTTTATCTCATTTAACTTTGACGCTTGTTATAGGAATACCCACAATCAGGTGTAACTTATGATTTGTTCAATTTGTGTAAATAAATGATTGCATAGTCTTTTATGAATCAACTTGAACTTGTCTGAACGTTCACTTATTGTGTCACTTTTCACTTCGCACAGTCAAATATTAAAGTAATGAGAAATACCTTGGTAAAAGTTTCCTCATAACTTTGTGTATGAGAGATGTAGGAAAAGCTTAATTCACCTTAAGCCCACTCCCTACAAAACAAACATTATAAACTTAATAATATATACACTCACCGGCCACTTTATTAGGTACACCTGTCCAACTGCTCGTTAACACTTAATTTCTAATCAGCCAATCACATGGCGGCAACT